TGCGTAATATCAACTAACTCAATCACGTGAGCGGTGTTTTCCAATCGATTGCGTAACAGAACGACAATAAATAGAGCGGAACACTGTAGATGATAACCAACGACATCTACAGGCGCTCACAGAGTGGCACTTGATTTTCGAATTCCAACTGGAAGTAAAAAAAGAAAGAATTAAACTTTTATTCTGTGATTATTAAAAGGACATTTTCCAGATGTTTATTCTGAATATTTCGATTAAGAAATAATTTTTACAAGTGAGAACTTTCGCTCTCATTTACATGAACGAGTTCAAATCTATATTCTCTAGTAAAATTTCGCAAATGTAACGAAAATTTTCTCCAGTCATTTTACTTAAGTTTCAGGATGAATGGAATCTTTGATGATGTTTAAAAACAATTCAACTGATAAGAGTTCTATGAGATATTTTTATCATTAGAGAATAAACTAAGAAATCCCGAAATAAAATTTTTTGTTGAATCGCTTTGTCTGCTAAATCTCGTCTCATGATCAAATAATGACGTAGAGACAAAGAAATATGTGGAAATATTGGCAGAAAAAACAAATGAAATGTTCTTCGGACTTTTGTTAATGAAGTCGATTATTTCTTCAAGTTTATTTTCTTGATGAAAACTTATTTCATCAGTTTAGATGTTAAGATTTTCTTTTTTCGATGTTTTAGAAAACTAATCATTTATTCATTCATTGTGATAAAATGTATTTGCAATCGAATATTTTATTCAAAACGATAAATAATTTCATAACAACAAGAGAAAAATATTAGTTAATTATGCTCAATGTAACTTCTCATGTTGTTAAAAGTTAGGTTTTTATAATAGAAGAGATATTTATGAAAAAGCGCATCTCTATACGCAACCCCCTTTTCTCTAGAAATATTCGATTTTATATAATAGAAGTCAAAATCGTATCATTTTAATGAAAACTATTTTATCTCACTATTTTTGCGGAAAATCTAACTAAAGTGTTGTAATTTCACGCGAGTTATGAATATATTCGCAACATTTATCTTAACAGCATTGTGTTCAAATCTTAAAGTCGTTCGCTTCTCTTTCTCAAGATACATTGAATTTCTGAAAAAGCTTAAACAGGCAATATATTCTTATTTTATTCCTTGGGATCTTTAAAGTATAAAAAAATTTATTGTGCAATTTAATGACATACCGTAGGAGAAACTCAAAAGCATGACGATTGACAAAGATTACTTTGCCTGTCATAGTGAAATTCTTTTTCTTTTTTGTTACCATATTTATTTTGATGTTCTTTTATCTATCAACAACTTTTAAGATTAAGAAATGAAATAAAGCGATGAATGTTGTGAATTGATTATTGACTCTCATCTATTTCTATTGTTTGCTCTGCAAAATCTTGTTGACCCTCCTTCTTCAATAAAATTTTCTCATCGGAATTAGATACTCGTCTCGAAGATACGAGTTACTTTTTTTCGTTTTTTATTCTCTTCGATGACTAGACTGCGTCGGGTTCAAAATTTGCAGACATGAACCCGACGGGCTTTAGCACTAAAAAAAATAGCTCAAATTTAAAAATTACAGTTTTCAGCCTGAAAATTAACAAATGACACACTTTTTTGACTTACACTCTCAATGCCTCCCAAATGAAGGGTTTTCAGCTGCGAGATTTTCCGTCGCTTTTCGAATGAGGGAAGGCTTTTTTTTCTACTAACAACTTAAATTCAAATGGAAAAAACACGAATCTTTTTGTTGAAAATTAATAAAGAAAGACTTTTATAGGTTTCTTCTCTTCAAACATTGTGAAGTCAACTATTTTCAACGGTGGGAATTTGTGTCGCCTGGCATCCCACTCCTCCTCTTTTTCCTCTTTTCTTCCAAAACCTCCTCTTTTTGTCCTCTTTTTTAAAAATTATCCTCTCTTTCCTCTTTTTTTCTGAAAAATTGAAGTTAAAAGAAAAATACTTAATATTTATGAGTTTTTTATCATCATTCACTTCATGTGTTGTTATGGACATCAATTCGCTTCGTATTGCTCTTTTCTGTCGCGAGAAGATGATAGGTCTATGAGTATAATAAATGTAACTACAGTAAAACCTCCTATAATGCACACCTCCTTCCCATGTAGCCAATAATGTAAAATAATGTCCATTATTTTACATTGTTGGTTACATGGGTTGTCCTGGACATCTCATGGTTTGACAAAGCAATTTTTGTCAAAGTGAAGTTCTGTAAGTGAACACTAATTATCGCTTAAAAGAAAATATCGGATGACTATAAAAGATCATACAACGTGATGACTCTTCTTTATTTATAAGACGGCGGAATGACAAAAAAAAGATAATGTTTAGTGGTGGAAAAAAAGACGTCCGTTGTGTTAAATAGACGACACAAGTATATATATATATATGTTATGGCCGAAGTTGGAATCCAGCCCGATTCGGAATTCGTCCAGACAAAATTGGAATATTTTTTTAGTGAGTCGTAAAGCTTAAAATAATACCAAAAATCAGACCATGTGTGGATCACAAATCTTGAGGGATGAAGTGAGGGTGATGAGGGACTCTGAATAACGGTGACGTGGTTTAGATGAATGTAAGGATAAATCTGTGACTGATATACGGGTTTTACGCGGTTTTTCAATTTCCTTTGACCGCTACTTCTGTCAGCCCCAATGAGATCGCCTGAATCGTTATCAAGACCCTCGGTCACCCTCACTATCATTCGTGACCCACTTGTGTTCTATTGTGGGTATTATTTTAAACTTTACGACTCACTAAAAAAATATTCCAGTTTCGTCTAGACGAAACTAGAATTCCAATTTCGTCTGGACGAATTCCGAATTGGGCTGAATTCCAACTTCGGCCATAACATATATATATATAATCGCATTGCAACATTTGCGTCATTTTCACCTATATTTATTAAATGCCCGACTATAAAACAAAATTCAATCAATCATGGTTAAATAAATTGGATAGTAATGGAAATTCAGTAAAAACGTGGCTGAAACAAGGCTCATCGGAAACAACATTTATTTGTACAATATGTCGTACTGGTGATCTAGACTGTTCTAACAAAGGCTGGAAAGCTGTTGAACAGCACATGCAAAATGAAAAACACAAAAATAATTTAAATGCTCTGAAGAATAATTCACAACTTACCTTTTCAATATCGGCAACAACATCTTCCACGTCGTCTACACATACTATTCAACTAGTTGATCCTAATAAACCTTTGTTATTCGATGATCAAGTATCACAAGCTGAAATTTTATGGGCGCTGAAGTCTGTTCAAGATGCATTTAGTTACAAAAATTCTGATGACGTCGGTGAATTATTTCGTACAATGTTTCCGGACTCAAAAATTGCTCAGAAATTTTCGATTCAACATTCAAAAATGTCTTATGTTATTTCACATGGTCTTGGACCGTATTTTCGTGATCTATTAATTAAAGATATTAAAAATTGTGAACGATTTGTTCTTTGTTTCGATGAACAAACAAATAATCAAAACAAGAAACAGCTTGATTTATATTTTCGATATTGGAGTTCACAAAAAGGACTTGTTGTTACCAGATATTATCGTACAATTTTATTAGATCATGCTCAAGCAAATGTTGTTGTTGATGGTATTTTAGGTACTTTTCGCACTGATGGTATCGATATCAGCAAGTTGTTAATGCTCAGTCGAGATAATCCAAATGTCAATAAAACAGTTGAAAAAATGATCAATGATGCTATGAAAAAGGTTAATGCTGAACTATTAAACATTGGTACTTGTAATTTACATGTTATTCATAATGGATTTAAAGCAGGTATGGATAGTGTCACTAAAATGAAACTATGTTTAACCGTGTGCGTTACTTTAAAGGGACAACTGAAACGAACTGGCACGTTGAGAACTTCTGTATGAATATTTGGTCGTGGTTTCAAAAATCACCTGCTCGACAAGAAGATTTTGAGAATATTGTAGATGAATTAAATGAAGCGATCAAAAAAACAATTTTATATTTCTCAAGTACACGATGGGTTTTACTCGGAAAAGTAATTGATCAAGTTCTTAGTAAGTAATAAAACACCACACATCTCTCCTTCCAATGTTTTGCTCTCTTTAGAGCAATATCATGTGTTTCGTGAATATTTTCTCGTTTATTTACCATCAAAACAACAGAAACAAATACAAAACAATTCTCGTTATGAT